AAGGTGTTGAGGGTAGGGCGAGGGAACCTCGTCAAGGTGGTACGTCTTCATTTCACCCCTTCCGTTGTCATTTTTCGTTCTATCCTTCACCCTTCCCAATTCACAAATATCATATGTCTTATCCATGATACACGAGATCTTGTACTGTGCTGTTTGAGGTAGAGAAGGCTGATCTCGTGTTGCTTTTTGCATATACCCGCATTGCTCCCCTTGGAACGCTTCTCGAAAACCCAAATGACCGCACCCACGCTCACGAACACCTCGTCGACGAATACATCAACGCATGAACAAACGAAACGACCCATGGACGGATGGATGGGAACAGACACGGGCGAAATGCAGCTATCTCGAGCAGCTCAGCACGGACGAGCGGGAGTTGTATCGGTGCTTTTTCGATTTGGTGGAAGAGGGACTCTAGTGCGTTTAAGTTATTTTTTTTCGTACCTTTGTGGCCCTCGTTTTCACCGCCCTCTCGTTCTTTTGACGTATTTCTTAATTGTTTCGTTCCTCAGTATTCATTCCTTCGGTCGCTAACAACCTTCCCTGTCCTTTGGCTCTCCTTCCGTGATGTCCAGCGAATCAGCTCTGCGTGCCTCCACCACACCACCCGAACCGACGGACTCCCGAAATCCACGAACGCACTTACGAACTAATCTACCATGCGCCCAACCGATACACTCAAAACAGTGCACTCAAACAAACACGCCCCACCTATTGATCAACGCACCCATGATCACAAAAAAGAACGCACTCACTTATTAGCCCAACCAAGACCGAAACGAAAGACCCACAGCGGCGCCGACCTCAAATCCCTCTGCGACTACCTCCACGGCAATCTCCGTCCTCGAATCCAACACGCACAGAGGCTCGGAGCCCCGGCTGAGGTATGCGCGGTCTTATAAGCACTCAGGGTAGTCGGCGGGCCTCCGATCATTCGCTAGAGATCGCTTCGGGGCTTCATCGTAACGATAGCTGAGGAGTGCGCGACGACATATGAGACAGGATGATGGCGAAGAAAGATGACGACAGAAGAGAGAAAGGCTTAGTCGAGTTGGGGATAAACGGGCTATTGAGGATGATGCTGCAGGACTCGAAGATGGCATTCGGTGGTTCGTTCCCAGTTCTGGGACAGAAGATATGGATTAGGCGGGTGTGTTCGCGAAGGCCGGGAACTGAGCGAGAAAGTAAGTCGCGCATGTCCAACTCCACGTCCGGGAACTGATTTTGTCCGACTCGCCCCCCTTGTCCAACTCAACATTCTTAGATCTCAACGACACAGACTGAAACGGGAAAGACAAAGACGCGGAGGCGATGTAGCGGAGTGACGGAGACGGTAGAGGCTATAATAAGAGCTTGACGCGGTGCTTTTCCTTGTGAGGCCATGGCTGACATTGAGGGAGAGATAGCAAGAGTGTTTCAGGGACTACTGACGAGTTTGGAGTCAGACAGTGGAGAACGGTGTTAGTAGTGTGTATGCGTGTAGCGGGATGAACACGGGTGAGTGTAACCGTGTATAGGAGATGAGTATGATGTACTTCGAGTTCGAGAGGGAGGAGTGTCGATTAGGGGGAATACATCGGTTCGCGGTCATGGCATGGGCTGGGTGAAAAGGTACTCATGTATTCCGAATGAGTGCCCGTCTTGGTGATGCCAGTTGACAATCGAAGAGTTCATCAATGAATAAGTGTAAACTACCATAGTGTCATTCTACACATTGTAGAACCTGAAGGAAGGGAACAGAGACATACCTGAGCATACACAGAGCTGGAAGTGGTCAAAGAGGACGGAAGAGTGTCACGTGGACCGCTAAATAACCGTGGGAAAATAGGGCAGAAAATCGATTTTTTTCGGGTATTTTGTTTGTATTTTCGAGTCGGAGGTGGAGAGTGGAATGAAGGCGTAAGATAAATGATGGAGCGAGGGTTGAAGGTCGGTTTGGAGCGTGTCGGGATGAAAAATATGGCAGAGACGGTTGTGAGCGACGTGGATAACGTTGAGTGGGTGTGACGGGTGGGTGAGAAGGATGTGATTTACGTGTTGGTGGAACAAGGTGTGTTTGTGATGTTTTCGAGGGGTAGGAAGGTTGTGAAGGCGAAATATGAGCGTCGGAGATAGAGAGATAGAGAGACGTAGGTGAGACGTAATACATTGGGCAGAGGTTAGGTTATGAGAAGAAAACACTGTTCCCTAGGTTTTCTAGGCCCAACCCTACATTAGGGTTACAAATAGCAAGAGGGTGAGCAGAGGGGACGGGGGTGAGCGAGAATGGTGCTGGAGGTGAGCCGCGTCGGCATGTCGCCTGTGGCAACACGGCATGGCACGGCATAACAGCCTTCCCACCAGCCGTGCGCTGTATTGTCGTAGCCTTCCCGCCAGCTGTGCACCCGCGTATTGCCTGTGGCGACATGGCACAGCGCTACCTCCTTCCTGGCAACCATGCGCTGGGGTATCGTCTATGGCAATACCACACGGGTCGCTGGAAGGCTGCGACACTATCTAGTGTTGCCATAGGCAATACATTACTGCACAACGGCCAGGAGACCTGCCACGCTGTGTCGTATCACCACGGGCAATACTACAGGCACACAGCTGCCAGGCAGGCTGCAGC